GCGGCGCGGCCCCGGCGCGGCCCCTCCCCCTCCGGCCCCTCCTCCCTTGCCTCCGCCCCTTCCCACGTTCGGGCCGGGCGCTGTTTCTGCCCAGACTTTCCCTGAAACTCCGCCGCAGCACTTCCAGCCAAAACAACAAGAGCCAGGGAGGAGGGGACGGGGACGGAGAAGGGCGGGCGGGAGCGGGAGTCCGAGGCACCCTGGGATCTGTAGTCCCCAGCCCGAGCGGGGTCCTCGCCGCCCCGCGGCCCCCGACCGTCGTGCGTCCGGGAAGGCGGCGAGGCCGGGGGTGGGGGGGCAGCGCCCCAGGGGCGCGGGTGGGGAGGAGCGAGGGACGACCCAGTGCTGGCCAGGTTTTCATCTTGACTGTGCCCGGCGTCGGTTTGGAGTTTGTGCTGTGTCTGAGACTGGGGGTGGGGGTGGGGGTTCTGTACTTGACAGCCTGAAAAGAAAACTGCCGGGAGGGAGGCGGCGATCCCGCCTGGGTCCCACGGCGCAGGGCTGAAAGGCTGTGACCTGGAGGACGAGAGAGCGCGCCATGGCGCCGGCCCGGAGCGGGCACCGAGGGGCGCGCCGAGAGCTGCCCTGGGCTGCGCCAGCGGTCCGGCCGCGTGGTGGGGGCGCTCAGTGCCCCCAGAGGATTGGATCGGACCTGTCTCTGGGACACGTTAAAGACTCAACCTTCCCTCCATTTGTTGCTTGTTTCTTCCACTTTGTATTTACTTAAAATCTGTCCAAGGGTTGTTGGGTAGAAAAACCACCCTTGGGCTTAACAGTTACTGTATTATACCTGAGTTTACCGTGATCTTATAGTAGAAACATGTATTTTCCTTTGAAACAAAGACCGCAAACTAAACTTAAAAGGTAATGTGTATGCAATCAGATAAAAGTGCTAGAAATATGAAGAGATAAATGAATATTTCCGAAAAAATAACCAGAGACATTGCCTTTTTTAACACAACATTCATAGAGAATTTTCTCCGTTTGAAAACGTTTTAGGTTGTATAGAAAATTAGGTGCTGGGATGGTGACCAGACAAAGGTCATTGCGTACGTGCAGAGGAGAGCTTAGGATAATAAGCAAAGGGTCAACAAAACTGCAGATTGTGATTAACGTGTTCCCCGAGGGGAATAAACACAGTTGTAAGATATGAAAGAATAACTGAGGTGAGACTAAGGCTGAGGGGGTATTTAGCAGAGGCAGAGAATTGAAAGATGTAAAGAAAGAAATCATTGCTTTTCTGGACAAATGAATAATTTTCTTTTTAACAAAAGGAATAATTATAAGAAGGACCGAAAGAGAAGCAACAAGAGGGTTAGTTTATAGACAGCACAGATAAAGACCCCTGGGAACCTAGAGGTGGGAGTAGGAACTCTCAGGAGGAAAGGGAGGTTGCTGAAATGTGCACGTTTTAGTTCTGCAACCTGGGACTGTTGTAGGAGGTACCCGCATCACGGTGTCATGAATGCACTTCCTTATTCAGTAACTCTCCGTGCGATTAATATTCTATTATTGTCATCCGAGTCAGAGAATACCTTCAAAATAAAATGTATTTAAGTAACACAGGAAGTTATTATCACAAAATAATGTTGGTATTTTAAGGCTACCTTCAACTTATCTAAACAGCATGATTAATAAATAGTACATCGTGGGGCTGGGGATTTAGCTCAGCGGCAAAGCGCCTGCCTGGCAAGCGCAAGGTCGTGAGTTCGGTTCCCG